TGTATTTAGTAATTGACACGTTGTTGACATACCGGTGCTCAATAAAAGTTCAAACCCACAAAAAATTAATTCCGAATAAATATTTTAATTACATATAAAAATTTAAATAAATATTTCTAATGGTTTAAATTTTATTCAATTTTATATCTTGAGTCTATCATTTCGTAACGGGGTGTATAAAGGGGCACTGGATAAGTGCTACCAGTTATATATGAATAAAGCAAATAGGGATGGTAATAATATATCACTGGACTCGTTTGATGGTGTACTATATATTTCACGCCGTTAATTGTAAACTTGTGCAAAAATCAATGGCTCGACTATACTTGCTTAATTATTTACAAATGGCTAAAAATAATTTGAATTCCTTTAAATGCGAAAAGGAACTAGACATTTATAAATAATAATAAATAAATAAAATAATTATTTAAATTATTTTCTTTCGTAGAAATGTTAAACTCGAGGGCACGTACGACAATATGTTATTAGAAAAACAGTTAATAAAATGTAGCAGGCGTATATTTGAAAGTAAAACTGATCCAGCGTTAATGTTAACAAGGTGTTTAGGAAATATGTACACGGCATCACTTTATGCTAGTTTAATATCGTACTTACTAAGGTAAATATTAAAAACATTATTATTTATTTTAAGATTAAATTATGAAACTAATGATGAAAAAAATATATAAATTAGTAAACCTATCAGTAATTTGGTGAACAACAAGGTCCTATTCTTTTCGTATGGGTCAGGGTTGGCTTCATCCATGTTTTCGGCACAAATCACGTCCGACCCAACGGTGCTCTCGAAACTGATGGCCGGTATCGGAGACATTGGCCACCGATTGAGTGGTCGACACAAAGTCTCATCACAAATGTTTGACGGGTTTCTAAAACTACGAGAACTCTGTCATAATAGGGCCCCATATATGCCTACCGGATCTCTTGAACATTTAGGTGCCGGTTCATTTTACCTGACACTTGTTAACGATAATTATCAGAGAAAATATGAGTGCCATGTAATTGACAAACACTAATAATTTTTATTTTATAAATAATTAATTTTTAAATTAATTTTAAAGATTTCCTAATTTAATAAATTATTTTAAATTTTCTTTAATTTGTAAATATAAACAAATATTTTCATTTAAATATTTGAATTGGTTGTCTGTAAAATTAACAGAATAGAGGTAATATAAATAACTTATAAGTATGTATAAATATATTTTTAAAGTATAAAAATAATATAAAGTATATTTAATCGGAAAATGACTAAATAATGTAACAATAAAATTTTATTCAAACCACATATTTAAATTGTACTACAAGTCTTGTTTTTGCTTTTAGCAACTATAATTTATTTTTAATATTTCAATTTTAATTTATATGATTAATTTAATAACACTACAATTTAAAGTAAAATTTAAGATGATAATGTTAGTAAATTAAACCTTTAAACATGTAATTAGTTTTTTCGTTTATAAATCATATCCAAAAATTGTTTGCAAATATTGGCTAACAATTGATTTTTCAGTTTTAAATCATTTATAGATTTACACAAATTTTTATAATACTCAGTCTCTTCTTTTAAATACAATTCCTTAATACTTAGCTTGGTGAAAATATCTTTAACAATAGCCACCGATGTATCCTCATCAATACAATAGTGTTTCTCAAGTGTTTCCCGTTGATCCTGATCACATAATTTAAATGCTGTCACAATTGGCCAGCTAGATTTTCCCTCCTGTATATCCCGTCCAATTTTTCCGGTTATATCCGGGTCACCGAAACAATCAAAATAATCGTCTTGTAGTTGATATAAGTGTCCGATTTTTATGAGCATTTCTTCAGCCATTTTATGAGCATCGGGTGAATCGTACGATGACATGTACATTGCTGATAATTATATTATAAATTCACAATTAATTATTAATAAATACCTATTAAAACTTATAATGCAATACTATATGTACCGATTCTAACCGGCAATACAAACGAATACAACGATGTTTTGTATTTAGCAATAGACGCATATCTATGGTCTGTAAATAGTTTAAACTTTGGACGTTTGCCGGTCGGGTTAGACGTCATATCCATACATTGTCCAAACACAATGTACCTTGCAGCCTATTCAAGTCACGCAACCTTTTATATCAATTTAACTATTACATAACTATTACGTATACCTCGTGTAGAAGGTCATTTAATTTTCCATAACATGGTTTATCGTGGAAAAATATTTCAATTATATGATATACTTCCTGTTCCAATACTTTGGCATCATTGCATGATCTTAAGCCAACATGCTCCTATTAAATAATAAATTAATAAAAATGATCTTTATTATACTAAATATCATACTATAGTAGCTGTTATATTAATTACAGACCACTTTGTACCAGCATGGTTTATTACGCCGGGTAATCGATTGATCCATCATATCATCAGTTATTAAATAAGCCGAATGTAGAAACTCGAGTGACCAACCTAACGCACTTGCTAGTTTTATTTCATCACATGTTGGTGTTTTACCCTGTTGCTCCACTATTGCTCTATATGTCGAAACCACAGTGAGACCTCGGCTAAATTTTCCATGCGGTACGTTATATAATATGCTTTCCCTTATCCATGAATATACTTCAGCCAATTCATGTGTTTCATGATCGGGACAAATAGCACACAATATCTCGTTAAATGTATTGCGAAATTCATTTAAATCGCTTTGAGAATTCATACTGATACAATTGGTGTTATGTTTGCCAGTTTTAACCCTTATATAGCATCATAATGTATTTTTTAATTATTTAATTACTTATTTATTTTCATTAATTTTAATTATTTAGTGTAGTAAACGAAATTTCATAAAACTTATTTTTATAATACAGGTTTTATAATAAATATGTTTATTTAGAATCTGTACCAAGGGGGTCATAAAAGGGCAATGCCTTTTTATTACTTGTATTAAGAAATAAAATCAATGTTTATATGTTGGAAAAATTGTATTTGACTCATTAAAAATTATATACGAGATTTAATAATTAATTAAATATTAATGTTAAACAAAATCCTCTAATAATAATGCATATTTAATTAGAGTGCAAATTGTCTTGTTGCAAAAAGTTCATCAATTATGATCTCGTCAGCCATTGTTGATATATCACCTAATTGTGAATCACCCTGGGCAACTTTTGCCAAAATTCGTCTCATTATTTTTCCGGACCTAGTTTTCGGTAACATTGAAACGGGGTGAAAAATATCAGGGGTTGCCAGCCCTCCGATCTTAGCCCGAGCTATGATTTTCAGGCAAATATTTATATCCAAGTAAATTATTTTAACCTTACAAATTACCTTTATTTTTGAGTTCATGTATTAACTCGTTAGTAAATTGATGTCCATTTTTGAGGACTACGAAACAGTAAAGACATTCCCCTTTAATGGGATGGGGTGTCGACACCACTGCCACCTCTGCGACGGCCTTATGTCCACTGATAGCCGACTCGACTTCGACTGTTGATAACAGATGTCCGGAAACATTGAGCGTATCATCGCATCGACCGGTTATCCAATAATAGCCGTCAGTATCCCTTCGGACGACTAATTATACATCCTTGATCATTCGCAAAATTAATAACAATAATATACAGTAAACGTACCATCACCAGTTTGAAAATAATTAGGAAACTTGCTAAAATATGTCCTTTCATAACGTTGATGATTACCAATTAATGTCCTGACTATAGATGGCCAGGGTTGCTTAAATGCTAGTTGGCCTGTACCAGGACCTATTATCTCTTGACCATGCTTGTTCAATATAGCTGGGACTACACCAAAGAAAGGCAAAGTAGCTGATCCAGGTTTAATTGGTGTGCAACCTGGTAGTGGAGTTAGCATTGGTGCGCCCTGTTATGTATATTCAATTATAATTAAATTATAAATTTAACCTCAAATAAAAATTAATAGTGTAGTGTAGTCTAGTGTATAAATTAATTTTATAAAAAGGACTTGCTGTTTCTGTTTGCCAGTAGGTGTCAACTATGGGACAATTGCCTTTCCCAATTATATTATAAAACCAGTGCCAGGCCTCCGGATTAATGGGCTCACCGGCTGTCCCTAAAAGCTTAAGTGAACTTAATTTGTATTTTTGGACGTATTTGTCGCCAAATTTCATGAGCGATCGGATGACTGTCGGCGCCGTATAAAAGGTGTTGACCCGCAGGTCGTCTATTAATTGCCACAATCTGTCGGGGTTTGGGTGGAAAGGCGTCCCCTCGAGCAGTACGACTGTAGCGCCGTTGGCCAGTGCGCCGTAAACGCTAGCCGTGTGTCCGGTAATCCACCCCAAATCGGCCGTACAGAAGAAGACGTCCCCATCGGTGTGGTTGAAGACATACTTGAATGTCGTGGCCGTGTATATCATGTAACCACCGGTGCTGTGGACCACACCTTTTGGCTGTCCAGTGCTACCACTTGTGTATAGTATGAAAAGCGGGTGCTCAGTGTCCAGCCATACCGGTGCGCAGTAATCATCAGCCATTTCCATAGCCTCGTGCCACCAGATATCGACCATACGATCCCATTTAATTAGTAAATGTGAACAATTGTCATTCATTTCATCCTGGTAGTTTATTTCCAGGTGCCGTTTTACAATGCAAGCTTTAATGCTATGTCCACTGCATTAAAACAAAGTTAGCAAGCTTTTTAAATATCAATATATCATTATTTTTTGTTGTCTATTAGTAATACCTTTTATTACATAAAGTTATGGCTAAATCTGCTATACCTTTTAATGGTATAAATTTAGTGCCCCGGTATGCTCGGTCACATGTAATGAGCATGACACAATTTGCATCTCTTATGCGATCAGCTAAGGCTTCAGCCGAGAATCCAGCAAACTTTTAACAAATATATACGTATTTTCTATTAATTTATTGTATATTTTAAAAGTAAACTAGGTCATGATATTTTATTAAACACTCACCACAACGGTATGTATGGCCCCTATGCGAGCGCAGCCTAACATTGCGGTCACCAATTCAATAGAGTTTGGCATATATATGACGATTGTGTCGCCCATTTGAATGCCCAGTGATTTGAGGACATTTGCAAATTTACATACTTCCCGCAATAAATTATGATAATTTATTTGTCGTCTAGTATTTGGTTCATTGCCCTCCCTATGACACAAGATTTATCTAGTTAAAATTCTGAATGTTAAATGTAAAGTTTTTATATCATATACAAACCAATAATAGGCAATGTGATGACCAAGACCTTTATTAATATTCCTGTCCAGAATATTGTAGCACACGTTTGTCAGCGCGCCCTCCATAAATTTAATTGAAATAGGTCCTTTCAAAATGTCAAAGTTGAATTTTAAAACACTTTGTTCGCTATATTTAAAAACAAAATCCTTTGCCATGTCCGACCAATAACTTGCAGGATCATTAATAGATTTCTTATACATTTGTCCATATTTTTCCATATTGTTTATATGGAATAAATTTTTTA